TATATTTATATTTAACTTACGGAGTCCTGGCGGGACAATGTTCCCTGGCTGGGCTGCTAAATGAAAGATGGACCGTTTGAACCCACCAGCTGCACTGAAAGAGGGACATGAGGCAGTCTGCTCCCAGAAGGATGCGGTGCTTCCGAACTCCCAGGGCGCAGGCCTGCTCTGTTCTGTAAGGCTGCTAAATGAGTCAGAGTCGACCCGATGGCAGTGGGTTTGCTTAGTGGGTTTGCTTTTACGTGCCATGGTGTTTACTAGCTCCTTGCATGTTGGAGCCTAGCGCCTGGGACTTCATTCCTTCCTAAGAGGAGCCTCTGGGTGGCTCTGATGGGTTAGCACTTGACTACTGGATGGAAGGTTGGCAGTTCAAGCCCACCCAGAGCTGCCTCAGACAACACACAGGGAGACCTGCTTCCAGAAGGTCATAGAACCTGTGCATTAGTTTTGTTCAGCACGCGCGTGGGAACGCCACGAATCCAATCTACCCAATGGCTGTCACCACCAGCAACCCTGTGGACATAACCTTTTGTTTGTCCCTCCACCCATCGATGGACCTCTGCCTTGTTGCGATGAACATGCATCTCTACCTTTGTCCAGGGACACGCGTCTTTAATTCCATAGCTGCAGGTGCTGACTCGTCCGCTCTCGCTCCCATCTTTCTGGAGGACCCCCGTGGTTTCCGTGGCTCATGATTTTCCACTATTGCTTCCTTTTCACTTCCCCTGGTTCTGCCTTTTGTCCCTCCCTTCCCCACACCAGAGACTCAAGCTCGTAGAGTGATTGGCCTCGGTTTACATCTGTCCAGTTACGTTACGCCTGGACTTAGGATGCCGTCTACCCATCCCCTGCTTTCATATTCTTTTTGCTCTTCTCTCTCTCCCCGCGGCAGTAAGCTGCCCTCTCGCCATTGTTACTTCTTGTCTGTCTGAGCAATCTCCTGGGCTTTCTCCACGGTGATGTCATAGAGGGACTTTATGTTGTGTGGGTATCTATCATACGGGACAGATAGTCTCAGCGCTCAAGGTACCCTTGATTGCCCTCTTCTGGTATCACAGGCCAAAAATCGGATGCTGCTCCGACTGTGCCCACTCGCTCCATTCGTAGGTG